CATGCAAGCTGTCTTTTCTTTGGCACAGATGGACGCATCCACATCCACATTCAGAAAAACATCCCAAGTTAACCCCAACCCGGAATGAACTCACTTCCGTTGGATCCATGTGGGGGATTTCTTCATAGCAAGTAGTGTTAACTGGACGGGTCGAGTGTTCAAGTGCAATTCGTAATTACTCATTCATAATTTCAGCTTAATTGTGAGCGTATTCCTCGTATTTATATCGTACTAGGTTCATTCATACATTTATTTATTTATTGGTTCTTTCAGTGAGGGAAGGAAGAGAAACTGGCGGCGTAAATTAACTTAATTGAAATTCGGGTCAACAGAGAGGCCAAGATAATGAAAGAAACTAATTAAGGCGCACTACCGACGAACTGCCCACATATATTCGTTTTCATTTTATACTGATTGTTACTTTGCGCATTTGTCGCTCAAATATTTTCAAATATTTTCCCATTCGCTGTGTGTTTGTATTGCCATTATTTGATTATTGGGTGCGCAGTGCGCACTCGGCGGCCCCTGGGTTAACAATTATTGTATTAATAAATATTTGAATGCGCTGCCCTCATCTGAACCCATCAGCCTTTTATACACGAGTAGTGGAATGGCCATCCAGCCACATCAGTTTCAATTAAAAACACATTTTGTGGTCACTGTGTGGTCGCCACTCGGGTTCTCCATGGGTTGGGTTCGATTTTAGCTGCATTATTCCTAGGTGACACACCCAATACTTGCGGGGCTTCCATATATATGAGGCTTTGCGATTCCATTTCTGCTGATGTGGGCCTATACTAGTGGTGGACTTCGGATTTTAAAACCAATCGATAACGTCAATATTTTAGCCTGGCTACTTACTGTCAACCAAACTGGGCTAACAAATGTTAAGGTTCTCATCGGTAATTACGACTGATCCAATTACACAATCAAGGTGTTGCAATATTGTTGGAAAACTATAATTCAGTTTGAAAAATGTGATAAACGCAGGGAAATCTAAAATATTAATATTAAAGGGTCATTCAAATATTTGTAGAATTATTAAACTGGAATGAAATTGTAATAAAATCGCTGTGTAATAAAATTCATGGAAGTTTTTTAAAATTAAAAATTAATTAAAGGCGGGAGCACTTAAAATAGTATTATTATTAAATTAAACAAAGATTTATTCAACTAAAATGATATTATACAAAATGTGATAATCATTTAGCTCCCAACTTTACCGCTTCATAGCTAATAAACATTCTAGTTATCGTTTAAAAATTATTAATCTCATATCTATAAGACAGAAATCCTTACCAACACCTTGCCAACCACTTAGACACCTCAAAAAGGTCAGCACAAAGAAAAGTTTTCAAACGTTTTACCAACTCCTATCTACAATTTCATCTCTTTTCAACTGCTAAAAATATATATAATAGAAGAAAGAGTAACTTATCCTTTGGCAAGCGAAAAACCCGAATGAAAAAACCACCGCAGATCCCTAAGCCTTTGCACAAACAAAGCGGCCGAGCTACTAACCGATTATGTATAAAATATTTATGAAATAGACCCGTATCCTAGAACTAAGCCGATGGGTTTGAATCATTAGAGCGGAGAAGGAGCACCCAGGAGCAGTCTAAATGGACAAAAAGTGTAACAAACGGCACACGCATCGTAGGTTTAGGTTCTATACCATATATCTTATACATGAAGATCCGGAATCCCAAAGATGCATGCTGGGTAATCAGGTCCAGGCATCTGCTGGGTTGAGCCTTTCTCTATACAAGTATATTATATTCCGAGGACTGAGAACTGAGACCGGAGGACCCACAAGGTTGCTCTTTCGACATCGTAATCCCTGCACTTAACCCGGGTAATAAGATAAGTAAGGCAGATCCGAGGTTTCGCTTTGCTTCTGCTTGTTATCTTTGTAAATTGCATGTCGAGCACTTAAGCCAATAGAAAAGAAGACTTGGCCAAGAATACATATATGTTCCTTTTGCCCGAGCGCGTGCTACTCACCACTATTCTATGCCAATTCTATTCTAAAGTGATATGTAGTTTAAGATATCCCGATGCCCGAGAGACCCTCGGACTGATTTAGCGACTTAGAGCTTAGAGCTACATAGTCCGGGGCTTAGGTAAGTGGATTTCTGAATTCAATCCGAATCCAGGGCACATATATATGCGAGATGTGTTAAGTATATAATGCGCTCATCCGATCTATTTCAATAACAAACCGACCGATTTCCAGACTAACCTAAGCCGGCAACCCAATAAAACAATGCCCCTAGTAAATTGTTCTATTCGCCTGATCTGCGGATTGAGCACAACACAGTTTAGTTTGAAAGATATATGGATATGTATGGATATGGGTATGGTATAAGGTATATGGGCTATGCAAAATATTTGAATCGAGGCTTAAGGCGTGGGCCAAAACCAATTTAACTCTTGCACTGGGTTAAGCTGAGCATAAACCCCAAATATGTACATACACGAAATGGAATCGGAGATGGTTTTCTTTGGGAGATGCTAAAATGAGCAAAGGTCTGTATATTTTATAAACAATGCAAGGGCTTAGGCCAGAAAATATTTATTCTTTACCATCTCAGCTTGTACTTAATGGGAAAATATTTAATTAAATCATTAGTAAGTAAGACTCAAGAATCCACAGCGTTAGAAATTTGTTAAAAAATATATGTGTTACGTGATTCCGATACGATATATTATCGTCGTCTACTTTATAATCAAGTATTATCTACATTTTCAGCTAACCCGTTTCTATTAAGAGTTAATAGATCATTGCACAACTTTTAGCCCAACACCAAACACCCCACCCATTCTCATCCATTTAAGCTTCCCCCGATTTCCATTTCCAGCTGACACCTTATAAAACTGCCAGCTAATCGTTTCAATAACATGATTTACCAACACACACACAATAACTTACAATTATTGAATCGAAGAAAAATGGGCACACAAAATATGATAATTGCTACCGATCGTCTCACTTGCCGGAGATAAAAAGGGGACGATATCTATAGGGAGTGGGGAGATTAATCTAGTAACGATGATATTAATTATCATTTCGTTTACAAATCGCCTTGAAAGAGCAAGAGAGAAAGAGAGTGAAAAGCGCAGTATTTATGATATCGTCGAGGCTTGTTATTCGAATTTTTCCCTGTCAATGTCGATTTGTAGGGAAATGGGAATGGAAATGGAGGGGAAACTTGTTGATGCTGATGATGCTCCCTTTTTCTCACATCTTTTACTCCAACGCGCACTTAAGCCACGCACACACAAACACATGTCAAGTGATCAAAGAATCAGAAGCCGCCGCACCAAGTGAAATTTTCGAAAATGAAGACGTCCACTGAGAACCCAAAAGAAAATACACACACCGTTTGAGAAATTTCAAAAACAACGCCCAAGTCGGTGCCCTTTTTACTATTTCTTTCCACAATTTCTTTAACGTTCTCATCTTTCAAATTGAGGCCTAAGCAAGTCCCGAGTTTTACACTGCGATAAATTGGGTTTTAATTCGAGTTCTTATATTTATATTATTCTTATATTATTTTACAGCAATGGTAAGTACAATTCATACATACTTCCCTAAAATTACTTCAAAATTTTTATATCCGTTACTCGTAGAGTAAAAGGGTATATTAGATTGGTGCAAAAGTATGTAACAGCTAGAAGGAAGCGTTTCCGACCCCATAAAGTATATATATTCTTGATCAGGGTCACTAGCCGAGTCGATCTAGCCATGTCCGTCTGTCCGTCTGTATGAACGCTGAGATCTCAGAAACTACAAAAGCTAGAAGGTTGAGATTTCCCACACATATTCTTTGGCTTCCTACGCAGCGCAAGTTTATTTTAGCCGAGCGCCACGCCCCCTCTAACGCCCACAATCGCTCACTAACGATTTTAAAATGGGTCCTGCGGCCACATCTTTAAAGATTTCCGAGAAGTATAAATGCAATTTTGTTGTGTATATTTATACCTATCGAAATGTAGAGGACATTTTTTAAATCGGACCATTCATTAAAAAGTTATACGCAATCAAAATTGTTTATATATCTATCTCCCTCGCACTCCCTTTAGCTGAGTTACGATTATTAGTCGGGACACCAACCCGCGTTCGCACTTCCTTTAGCTGAGTGACGGGTATTAGATAGTCGGGACACCAACCCGACTATAGCGTTCTCTCTTGTTATAATTGTAGAATACTAATTTCTACGTGAATTCTTAAGTATTTGTAGTACGCGTTTACAAAGTTTTTTTTTTCATGTCCTATTATCCTTTGTATTTTTAGTAAGTTTCTAATATTTTTCCAAGTGTAGCGCACATATTAGTTGAAAAATTGTATAACAAAAGTTAAGAAAAATTGCCTGAGAGACGGGGGAGCAAAGTGTGCTCGCTGGACAGAGGGATCTAGACAAAGGCCTGGCTGGAGGTTCAGGGTACGGAATATGGTATCGAGCCGAGGCTATGGGATATCATATCGGATCGGATCGTACCTGCGGTGCCCAGCACATCTCGCACAGCTGGAGTTGTCACTGGGCATGTAAAGAGCCAAACAAAATCGAGTCAATGGGTGATGGCTCATTTTGGACCTCATCCTCTCTCTCTGGCATTTTTCTGCCTTTTTTCGGGAATCATTTTCATGTTTGCCGCTCCAGCTAGCAAACAACTAATTAAGTCATCAGGATGAAAGCAAGTCGGGAAAGGAAGCTGGGTAAATATTTACGGACAGCAGCTGACGGTCAATACAAAAAAACAACGAAGCTGTTGGGTTTTTAGAGGAAATAGAAATAGTCATGTGGGAAATAGAAAACCTCAAATGAAAGAAGTTAATTTTTTCATTGTTAATGCTAATTTATATTTTAATTTATGTAGGCAAAAAATATTAAAGCCTTTTCATAGAGGTATCAATAAAAAAAGGATTCTGAAAATGTTCCAAGAAATAAAAAATCAGCTTTGGGTTTATTTTTTGTAAGTATTGTTTATTTAATATTTTTTAAATTTTTTGTTATTAATTCTTATTTAAATATGTACATAAATGGGTAGCAAACTACGAGGGCCCGTCGGCAGGCGAAAAATTGGCCTCGTTTGAAGACCGGCAATTCTGAAGAATTCGCTGCTCTTTTCTTGCTGTTAACCATCGACTTTCCAGGTCGATTCGCAGGACCCGCTGAAGAAGCGAAGCGGTCAGTGGGGAAATGACCAAAAGAATTTGCTAAATTGCAGCATTTAGACGTCACGGGTTTAGTCCTAGTTTTCTTCCCCCAAAGCGACCCTAGTCCCTGGGTTTTCCTGGGTTTTTTTTTGTTGATCCAAAGCGCTGGGCTTGGTTTTGCGCCGGCTCCCGGGATAATTTAGCTGGATGGGAATTTGCCAAAGAACTGCATGCGCTGGAACAACTCGGCGTTTAGCTGGGGCGGATAGCCCTGCATTTGGGCGGGATGAGGCGACTGATGGTGATGATGATGGGGATGGGCAGCCTGGGGAGCCTGCTGGTACTGCATCTGTTGATAGGCAGCCTGATAGGCGGCGGGATTCATGCGTTGATATAAAGCGGCAGCTGCAGCAGCGGCAAAAGGAACGGCGGCAGCAGGATATCCATAAGCTGGAGCCGGGTTTCCATAGGGAGAACCAGCCATCATGGGTGAGAAGATGGCCTGACGATAGGCGGCCAAACGAGTGCGACTGGCGCCGGGATTCTTCCGCCTCAACTTCCCAGTGGTCTCGCCAATGAAAACCTCCTCGGCCGAGGGGTCCAGGATCCAGTAGTTGCCCTTGCCGGGATCATCGTAGCTCCGCGGGATCTTCGTGAAGCACTTGTTCAAACTCAAGTTGTGACGAATGCTGTTCTGCCAGCCGCGCTTGTTGGCCTTGAAGTAGGGAAATCTATTGATCAGATACTGATAGATCCCGTTCAAAGTCAATCGCTGTTCGGGGCTGTCCTGGATGGCCATCATGATGAGGGCATTGTAGCTGTAAGGCGGCTTCTTGGTATCGCTGCCCGAGCTAATCTTCTGCTTCTTGCTCGGATTGCCATCCTCGCTCTCCTGATCCTCATCGAGTTGATCCTCCAGCTCATCGTCGAACTCCACATCGAGTTTATCGTTATTCTGCGAGGACAACGATTCGGCGGCACTGCTCATGGGTGTGCTGGTCCTGCTGGGGCTATCGAAATCCTCCGAGGCCGAGAGTTCGCCATCGGAATTGGAGTACGGATGAACGTACTGGTTGAGATGATGATGATGCTGCACCGGTTCGGTTTTGATGGGTTGTTGTTGGATTGTGGGTTTCTTGGCCAGAATGGCATCGATGGAGAAGTTGCTCTTGAATTCCATTTCACTTTTCACCATGTTTACTTGTGTTGATATAAATATCTTTGGTTTTTTCTGTTTCTCACTCACGACTTTTGGGATCGCTTGAGATGTTTGCGCTTGAGATGCTAGCTCTGAACTGATTCTCTACAGCCCCGTCTCGGGCTATTTATAGTCACACCCCCGGGTCTCGGTCCCTCGAACGAAGTCTACACGACGAGAGAGCCGACAGAGACGGGTAGCTGTGCGTGCGAGAGAGACGGGGCTAGCAGGTAGTTGGGTTGCTAAACCCTCTTCACAAAGACTCCGCCCTCCATTTTGTGACCATTTTGTTCCACTCGCCTTCCACACACGCAAAATATATATATGGGAAAAGCGGACTTTGTTTGGGAACTTGTGGATGTTTATTTTCAGTCTTTTTCTGCTTCGGCGTCAAAATATCCATTACATCCAATCCAAACAGGGTTGGGACTTGGGGTTGTTCTCAGTGCGTCTCGTTTCCGCTCGCTGTTTTGACTATTAATTGCACTAACAAGCGGCAATAAAAATAAAAACAAAAACAAGTCCAAGGAGTCGCAATTTAATCAGGATGTTTATAAGTTCATAATGAATTTTGATTGCGAACCAAGAGTTCTCGAAAAAGTGGGCCATTTCTAATCACTTCAATGAGTTATTGAGTTAATTTTTCTGAACAGTCAAAGATTGCTTTGCTGTTAACCTCCCTTAAGCGACAATAATGTTAAAATAATTTTATTCAGGTTTTTCTGTTGTAATTTTAAAGCTTTAAATTACATTTTTAGTAAATTTATTGCACTTAATATTTTTTTGACAACTATTAATAAGTTTTTAGTTGTCAAAAAAATATTAAATCAAATCCAAAAACTGGAAAGTTATACTTAAAATAAATGAAAATCATTTGTAAATAAATAATATGAAATCATGTTAAGATATCTAACTTATTCATTATATTTATTTATTCAAAATAATTAAATTATCCTATAGCAAATAATCCTGGAATATTGGATTGAGCATTTGATCCACTTATTATTTGACAATGAATTCTGCGAATTAGTTTCCTGGCAATCTGCGAGCCAAACTCCTTGAGTTGCTCCTAATCCCGCCCAAACTAGTTCAAGGGTTGCTTTCCGTGGTCCGGGGATTATCTGAAGCGGGATCAGGGATCTGGGCTTACGGCACGATTTTCAACAGCTCAATGGAGCTCAGGACGAAGGACTCTGGAACTCAGGTAATCCGAAGGGGTTAAACCTTCGGGCAGCGGGATTTGTTCTAGTTTCGCGACAGATTTGCGAATTAGTTCTGGGCTCGCTTAGCCAGAATCAATGTGGATCTCTTTGGCAATCCTTTTGGAGATTAAAAGACTTGCAAGATGCGTTCCCTCAAATATTTGTGCTCAACTATTAACTTGCAGTGGAGTTTAAAGTTGGTTGGGACGAAGTTAGGTTGTGTTTTGGTGATTTGTTAGGGAGTTAAAGGAAATTCTAGAATTTAAAGAAATAAGTATGGGACTTTATAATCAGTTTCTTGAAATGAAAACGTGGAATCATCAGTTTTAAAATGGGTTTACTTAAAAGTCAATAAAATTAGGAAAAACCAATTTTTTAAAATGAAAATAATTTTAGAATAAGTCATCAGTATAAAGGTTATATACTAAAATTCAATTATATAGAACCATTTCTATAATAATAAAACAAGGGCTATATATATAGTTTTAAAAATAGATTATAGAACTTTTAAATTTATAGAAGCAATGTATTCTTTAGAACTTTACTTTATTGAAAACTAAACGTAAGACCAGGCATATGCAACTCACATGGGATCACATCCTTAAGGATCAAACAAAGTGTCGCCGACTTTACTTAGCGATATGGCTACCGAAATCGACTTAAAGTCGGGGATTTTCGATTGCGATTGGGTTGCTTTGGCAATGGACCGAGACTGGACTACCGACTACAAAAACAAGGAAGTACAAGTGGTTTTTGTTTTATGTTTTTATGGCATGTTTTGTTAGAACAATTGAACAAATATACAGGCAGATAAATCGGGCGAAAGTCAAGTAGACACAATGAAGACGTCAGCGCTGTGGGTTATTACAGATGGATGGATGGAAGTATGGCTATATGGATGGGGAAGGGGGGCGAATACTTGTCGGCGGCACTGTGCGTTTGATATCTTAGACAACTTGACAAAACAATCAAAGCAGCAACAACACATGTTCCAAATGACTGTCTATTAATTTTGCTCCCTTCTCATATTTTATTTTTTGCCCAAAACCGAAAAAATAAGTGAACAAAACAATAGGAGAAAAAAGGAGGCAGCGCACTTTTAACGCAGTAGTCCAATTGCCGATGATAATGATGCACTCAGAGGAGTCGGCAAAGTTAAAAGTGCCCGAAAGAGATGGCACCATGCGATCCGAAAGAGAAAGGTATACAGATGTGGCTGTGGAAAAAAGTAGGCGGTTAACAATTGTCGAGGCGGCAGGTTCAGTTACTATTCTTTCTTCTCCGGAGCGTTTTTTCTTCTTTTCTAAGCGAGGGATAAATGAAGATTTGAACGCCTCGGTTTTCTTTGCGGCTTCCCTTTTTCTCTCCGACTTGAGCTGAGCCACTAATTGAGTTGGAAATTTGTGTAGTTTTTTTGCAAGTCGCAGCTAGAGATGAAAGACATTTCGCCGACTTTAACTCCGACTTTTCCCTGGTGAGTGCATAATTTTGACAGGCGCGACAAAACTAATTGATTTGTGAATTCCCTAAGCCATCCAAAAAATCCACAGATCCTGGACACACACATTGCGGAAATTTAAACACTCCATAGAGTAATGGCTAATTCGATTATCAGCTGCTGTAGGGGATATTTAAAAAAATATGCTACGCATTATTTCATAAAAGTAAAACAAGGACAAAGAAATGGACTTAAATATGTTTCTGAAATTAAAATTATAAAATTAACATTAATATATTTATTTATCCCTTCACTTTAAAATTTCATATATTTGTAAAATAAAAATACAAAAATGGTACAATAAAATAAAAAGAATTAAAATTATATCTGTTACCTATTTTTTATTAAGGTCCCCATTTTTACGATTTTAAGCAAATAAAATTAAACCAGTTGTATTACGTTTTTCAAGCATTTATTCTCTTATTTTTATAAACCAAAACCTATATTTTTTACAGTTATCATTAAAATTGTAGTATCATTTATTCGTTTAAAAGTTAAACAAATTTAATAAATTTTGTAAAATGAGTTAATTTTGTTCCATTTCCTTTCATATGCTTAGTATGTCTTTATACGACTTTGTGTGAAAAGAGATCCTTTTCGTTGACTTTTCGTTTGACTTTAACGTCTTCTCATTCGAAAAGATAATGCGGTAAAACGAATTGATTAGCGATTTGTGATCCTTGAGCGCACACCTTGAGCAAAATCGAGCGTGGAGCAGACCGAGAGCATGTGGTCGCTGATTGTCGGTGATCAGGACACGATCAGGACCACGCTGTTTGACATTATGGTTTCATTGCCAAAACCACACTTAGGCGTTGCCTTCACGAGCTTCACGCTTCGAAAGAGCGCTACGCCTGCCTCATTAGCTCACAAAAACTGACAAAAACTAAGGAAATCTAGGGAAAATCAATGGAAACTAAGGAACGCATAAGCGAATTCCAAGTAGACACCGTGGCCACAGACAATGTGCATGTAATTTTCAATTAACGCCACAAGATTTCCCTCCTTCAGAAACTTTCGCCCATGATTTCGTTCCACTGTGGGTGAGCATTGAGTCTCATAATTGATCGTAATGTGCGATATTCCTTTTTCCAAAGGGACCTCAGTTGTCAACAGGACTCGAATCCTCGGCGACTGTCACATGGCCATTGGTTCTTCGGGACATCAGCAGGATATCTTGAGCATTTGTCGCGCTCAGCGAGTCGTCTTTTCGCCCTCGCACTTTGCCTTTTCAGTCCTGTCGACAGGATATTCTGCATTTTCGGGACTTTATGGTCCTAACAATGGCCATGATCGATCTATCGTTCCACACCCAAAAAGGAAAAAAATGCATTGATTTTTTTATGCCTTCGAAACGCTGAGTTCTGTCACTAATCAGGTCCTTTCACTCGGGTATTTCTGCATAAGTCCCCGTTTATTGATAAGTCCGGTGTCAATCCCAGATTTTGAATGAATCCAGCTACTTGGCTTAGGTACAAAACCGGACTTAAGTTTATATTGCCTTTACGATCTGGTTTCACTTTTAGGGCTGCCAAATCTAGAGTTCAGGTAGTGGGGGAAATCGAGAAGTTTATTGGCAGTCAGGTAAAGATATTTATTTAACACCTCATTGTAAAAGAACCATAAATATATGATTTTTTAAGACAATACCCTGTGTAAATTAATTGTTAACAATGGAAGGAAATTATTTACAAGGGGTTAAATAAATTCAATAAATAATAAAATAAACAAATAAATGATCTTATTATTTTTTTAGAGCAGCGGTCGGCACACACATACGTTGACATTTTGTTTTATATTTGTGTGAGTAATTTGCACTGGGCAGCTCATCGATGTGTGTGTGCAGACCGCTGTTCTACATTATACATGTGCGAGCAGCGCGTCGGCAGAACAAAACCCTATGCTCACTTAATAGGGCGCTGCCGACCGCTGTTTTAGAGTAAACAATATAATTATTCTTGTTTTTTAAAGGCAGTTTAAAACAAGAAAGGAAGCTAGCTTCGGCCAGCCGAAGCTTATATACCCTTGCAGATCATTCCTATTAATTAACAAATCGCAAAAATGTTCAATTTTCTAATATTTTTCATTAATTTTCCGATCGTTCCTATGGCAGCTATATGATATAGTCGTCCGATTTTGATCTAATTAAAATTGAAATTCGGAAATATTTTAAAAGAGTCATATCCTAGAGAAGAAGATAATACAATAAAAACCAACGAAGCTAGAATTTATTTCCTATTACTTTTCCATTAATTTTCCGATCGTTCCTTGGGCAGCTATATGATATAGTAGTCCGATTTGTTAAATATTTAATTCGAAATTCAGAAATATTTAAAAAATAACATCCCCAAAAGTAGAAGGTAATATTTCAAAAAACACCGAA